CACACACACACACGCGCACACGCACACGCACACGCACACGCACACGCACACGCACACGCACACGCACACGCACACGCACACGCACACGCACACGCACGCTCACACACAAATATACATACATACACACACTTTTCGGTCGTGGCGGCCAGGCGTACCGCCGTGGCGTCAACGAGCAGTCTGCCCCTCACGACGCCAGCGGCAGGAGAGCTGTCCCAGCGAGCGGAGAGCGCGGAGCGCGGAGAGCCGAGGCGGCGAGGCCCTGTCCCACCCCCTGGCCCTCCCACGTCCCCACCCCCGGAGCAGCCGCGGCGGCGCACGCGTCCGCGGCGGCATCCCCGCACCGCGCGCCGCGCGACGTGCCAGCGCGCGGACGCCGCGACGCGGCACCTTCAGAAGCTCATGGTGATCGGCGCGGCTGCGAGGCTGCCGCTGCCTCGGGCGCTCCAAAGATGACTGCCTGCCAAAGCACCCAGACGCAACCTGAAGTCACCACTGAGCTCGTCGAATTCTGGTGGGGGGGGGCGCTCCAGAACATCGAGGAAGCAAGAGGGAGCCCGTATACCCCCCAGCCCGAGATTTGGGGGGGTGGTCTGGGGCCTTCGGAATCACCAGGGATGGCATGGCACGCAGTGGAAAGATGGGTCCCTGAGGGATCAGAGGTCTCCCAGACGGGGTCCAAGTAAGTTCGGTCGGATGATGGCGCCGCATTGCCGATGCAATGTATCGGCGGCGTCGGCGATGCATCGGCGACGCCAGCGCGGATAACAGCGAGTTGCATCCCCGGCGATGCGGCGCGATCCACCAACCCGATGCACTCGGACCCCATCAGGCGTAGAATGAAAAGGCCCCAAGGAACGAGGGCCTCACGGGAGGCCCAAAAAGGCGAAAACAAGGCAAGGGTAGCAGTAATTACCAGTACCTTCCTTGAGATCCGACGTCGCGAAAAAATGGAAACATCGTGACACATCACGACTGGATCCCTAGACCCCATCTTTCTGCGGCACTTCTCGAACTGGATCGATTTGTGAAGGTCCCGAGGCCCGCAACCGGACGAAAACGCCAAGTGTGCAAAACTTGCAATGCCAAGATCTCAAGGGAGTCCTTCTCTGATATCTTGGAAGGCCGCATGAATGGGGTCCGAGTAGATGGGGTCCCGGGATCGCGCCGCATCGCTGATGCATCGTCGATGCGTCGACAACGTCGGCGATGCATCGGCGACGTCCGCGTGGAGGAAATCTGGTTCCAGATCGTGCCCTACCGCCGATGCCGATGCATCGGCGATAGAGCGCCATCCTGCGACCCCCTCTTCTCAGACCCCATCCTGGAAACCCAATATTTTTGAACGTCCGACATGGGTTCGGAAAACATGGGTGTGATGCCTCACAAAACATGTTTCCAAGCGGCCGCTGTTGGGCATGGGTACATGGGCCACTGATGCCGCAGGGTACATGGGTACAGCGGCCGCTGTTGGGCAGGCAGACTTCTGTCTCAAATGGACAAGGTTCGCGGCGACACCGACAGCGAATGATCGTTGATGGGACGCAGAAAAGCATACTGGTACTGTGTCCTCCTCGGAGGCGTGCGTCCAACCCGACCCGGCCATCTTGTACTGCATCGTTTCCCGAGCGATGCGGCCAGAAAAACGTCCGCCACAAAACGCAAGCTGTAAGATTTCTCGGTGCGCACGTCGCCCCTCGGGGGGGCGACGCACACATGGTAGTAGTAGTAGTAGTATGTCGGTGTGACGCCGATTTGAACCGCCGATGCCGCCGTGTGGCAGGGAGAATCTGCGCAGCGTGTTGCCCAGACCCCCGCGCGAACTCGGCACCGGCGCCGGCTCTGGCGCCAGGCCCTGGCGCTCGGGCCCTGGCGGCGCGTCCGCGACCTCGGGCGCCCAGCTCTGCGCCTGCAGCGCCGAGAGCTCTTCCGCCCCCCAGCCGCTCTTCACGCCGGCCTCCTGCTCGGGCCGCTGTGTTTCAGATGTTGACGATCTTCTGTTACAAGGAAGATGTCAGTCAGCCAGCGCGGACCCCAAAACACTGTGTCTGTAGCAGCCTTCTTGTGCAACCTACGTGGGGCAAAGTAGGTTGTGCAATCAACGTGGTGCAATCTATGTGGTGCAACGTATGTGGTGCAGTATATTCTGTGCAATCTACGTGATGCAGCCTACGATGTGCAATTCATGCGGTGCGCGCTACATGGTGCAACCAGTGTGGTACAATCTTATTACGTGGTGAAATATATGTTGTGCAATCGATGTGGTGCAATTCGCTTATGGGTCTCGTAAATGTCAGCTCCACTGCTAAAGCAATCATCCCACCCACCCATCCGCAAGGTGTTTTGCGAAACATATGCGGTGGCGACTGCGATGAAAAATTGGTGTTGGCTGGTGCATGATTGCGGCCGCGCTAACCCGCGAATGCTCGCGCGCAGCGGTGGCGCTGACGTTTGGGCAGTTCCCAGCACGCGTTGCAGTGCGAGTCGGCCACTTGGGCGGTCGCGGTATCATGACAACGTCGACAACGGTAGACAAGATAATGATCGTAGCAAAGCTGGTGACGATGATAACAATCGCGACGGCACGGCCAGTGACGGCGCCGATGCTGGGCACGCCAACGACGATGACAACGTCCTCGCGTCGGCGGTGAAGGTTTTGGAAGGAGTTCGACGTGCGCGCACGGCCGACGCGCGAGTGGCCTGCACGGTATTATTTGACACGGATCGTGCCCCCTGCACGCGCGGAAAGGCGTTCGAATGATGTCGGCATGCGGCGCGAAACGCCCGCTCGGCCGAATTTAATGAACATATGGAACACGTTACTGATATGTTAAGAATTCGCAAGAGCGCGATTGCAGTTAAATTTTTGCGTGAAAGCGAATGGTGCAACACCATGTGTTGCTCACGGCCATCCTGTGGTGTTGGTTCCTCGTCTTGAATCGACAGCGCCCCGCGTCTTCGCTCCTCTTTCCTTCTCCCACTCCCCCACATCCCTGTTTTTGGCCTCCGCATGTCAATGTTGCGGCGCACTCAATGCAAAGCTTCGTGGCCCCATGCGGAGCTCCGCCGAACGAGTGACCCTCCTGCCCGGGCTCTTGGGACTCCGACCCCTTAGGCATGACCGTCTTGGCCCCCTTGTTGTTCTGGCCCCCTCCCATGCCGTGGCCTCCCAAACCCCGCCCTTCATCAGGGGTTCGGATTCATGCTCGTGTCGAAATCGTTGTCGTCGTCGTGGCCGCCCCTGGCTTCACTGCCGTGGCCTCCTGGTCCCCTGCTCTAGCCCTGGGATCCCGTCTCCCCATCCCTGGCCTCCGAGGCCGCCCCCTTGCCCTGGACCCCTGTACCCCCCCACCCCTGGCCGCTCCCTAGGCCCCGTCCCCCGCAAGGCATCGGATCTGTCCCTGTTTTCGCTGGGCGCCGGCCTCAAGACCTGCGGGTTCCCTGGCCCCCCAGCTTCTCGGATCCCCCTCGCCCCCTAGGGCTCGCATCGCAAATTGGCAATTTTTTTTGTTGGGGGGGGCGGTGCACAACAAGGATATTACGTCGACGGTTGGGCCCCGCATGATGATCTCCCAAACGCACACTTCATCGTCGTTCTTGTGAGTACAGAGGTTCCTCCCCGTCACATCATCGTCATGATCCTTTTCGCTTTGGCGGATTCCCTCTTCCCGCCCCCTGCTCTGCCTCGCCCTCGTCCTCCTGCCTTTTCTCCTCAATCCACATCCTCTGCCTCTCCCTCCCCCCTCCTCCTCGGCCAAGTTGGAACAACCTCACGAACCGCAGGGGCGCGGGAGCAAGTCGCTGGGACAGCCCGCGAAGTCAGGTCTCGAGCTAGTCGCGGCCGCGCTGAGGCAGGGAGGCAGCGCGAAGCCCAGCTCTGCCGCGAGCTGCCCCGCCTCAGCCGTGGAATTCCCCGCTCTTTGGTCGAACTCCCCGGCGACCCGCGCTCCAGGAACTCTCGCGTGGGCGGCCGCAGGATCAGACTGTTCCGCATGCCTTTCCTCGCCCGCTCGAGATTTCTGCCATATTCAAGCCTCAAACGGCCAGACATGACGACAATCACAAGAATGCGATGGCCCGCTCGGAGTTGGTACGTGAGCTGCGGACCCCATCGGAAGGGTGGGCTCCACCAGAGACTTCCTCGACGTGCAATCACAAGACGACGGTCCCGCCATAGACACTCTCAGTGCTCAAGCTTCAACTGGCTTGGTCTAGGGCGGGCTTTCGGACGCAACTGACTCAACAGCATCATCATCATCAGCATCATCATCATCAGCATCATCATCATCATCAGCATCATCATCATCATCATCAGCATCATCATCATTATCAGAGAGAACGCGTTTCACGGGCGCTTGCCTTGGGAACATTCGGCGGCGCGTTTCGAACCCGGGGGTCGGCCCCCTCCACACTCGGCGCCGTCGATCAAAACACCCTTCCCCTCCCGAACCCCCCCCCTCCCAAGGGGAGGGGTGGGGGGGTTGACCCCCCCATCTTTTCGGCGCCGGCGCAGGCGGCCGACAGCAGTGCCGACGGCGGGGACGCAGCGATGATGACCAAAGGCGGCCCAAGGGGGGGGGACGGGGGAGGTTCAACCCCCCCCCCCTCCTGGCGCTAGGGGGGGGTGGGGGTCCGCCCCCCCCCCCCCTCTGCGGCCCCGGCGCCGGCGCTGGCGCTGGTGCCGGCGACGGCGGGGAGGACGCAGCGACGGTAACCACCACCACCACCACCACCACTACCACCACAACCACCGCCTCAACCCACCACCACCACCACCACCAACCCACCACACAACCACCACCACCACCACCACAGCCACCACCACCACCACAACCACCGCCACCACAACTCGCCATCACCACCACCACCACCACCACCACAAAAACCTACCACCACTACCACCACCACCACAATCTACCACGCCACCACCACCACCACCGCCACAACCACCACGACTACAAGCAGCACGACCCACCACCGCCACCACCAAACCACCACACCACTACCACCACCACCGCCACCACCACCACCAGCACCACTTCCACAAACCACCGCCACCACCACAACCCACCACCACCACACCACAAACCACCACCAAACCACCACCACCACCACAAACCACCACCACCACCACAAACCACCACCACACCACCACCACCACCCACCACCACAACCACCACAACCACCACAACAAACCACCACACCACCACCACCACAACCGCCATCACCGCCACCAACACCACCACAACCCACCACCACCACCACCATCACCGTCGTTCTCGTCGACGCTCTCCGCCGCCGCCGCCCGCCGCCGCAGGCGCCGGCGCCGGCCCAGAGAAGGAAATCGTCGTCTCCGCCGCCGCCGCCAGCCGCCGCCGACACAAGCGCTGGCCCGAGGAGAGGGAGAGACGAAAAGTAGGGGAGGAAGGGGGGGAGGGGGGGGGGTGGTTCCCCCCCCATTCCAAGCGACCATGAAACGCGCTCTTTCCATCATCATCATCATCATCATCATCATCATCATCATCATCATCATCATCATCATCAACATCATCACCATCATTATCATCATCAACATTAGCATAAACATCATCACCATCATCATCAACAACATAGTCACCGCTTCCCTTCTCATCCTGGTGCTCTTGCTGATCATGATGCTCACCCTCTCCCGTCCTCGCCCCCCCACTCCTCGGCCTTCTCCTCCCTGCTGCTGATCACCCCCTTCCTGCTCCTCCACCGCCTTCTGCTCATCCTGCACCTGTCCGGCTCCTCCGCCTCCTGCTCCTCCTCCTGCTCCTCCTCCGCCTCCTGCTCGTCCGCCTCCTGCTCCTCCTCCTCCTTCTCCTGCTCCTCCGCCTCCTGCTCCTCCTCCGCCTCCTGCTCCTCCTCCGCCTCCTGCTCCTCCACGGGCTGCAACAGCTCCTCCGCCTCCTGCTCATCCTCCCCGCAGGTCCTCAACGGCTGGCAGCGCCGCCGGCGGCGGGCGGCGCCGCCGTCAAGGCCCCCCGGGGGGGGCAGGAGGAGGAGGAGATTACATTAGACTCTGCGCTGCGCGCTCAATCCAATCTATCCCAGGACATTGACCTGCTTGGCCAACTTCGCGTGGCCTGGGAGTCGTCCTTTCTCAAGCGCCCTGAGATACTGCAGGCCCGTACGTGTGGGGGCCTGGCATTCCGAAACGAGTTTGCCCGTGGAGCGGTAGTGGTCGGTACCGAGCGTCCCCGCCCCCGCCTCCCACCAACGCATAGTGTGAGAAGGATGCACAGAGAGGCCTCTCCGACTCGGCCCCACCTCCCGTGGGGCACTCGAAGCAGGGCCTACAATGAGAGAGGGGTTGCACGGAGAGCGGAGCCACTTAATTACAGCAGCCTTTCCCCTTGAGGGAGGCTCCGAGGAACATTTACGACAACGCCACTGCCTACGCAGACGACCCTCGACACTGGAGCACTCCAAAAGGTGGGCCGTGCAGGGTAGCTCCGAGGCCAAATCCAGCTTCTTCCTTATAGGTCCCTGGGCGGCAGCTCTGGAAACTTCTCCCTCTGGGCGGTACGAAGGCATCGAAACCAAAATGCCAGACAAACGGGCGCGGATGGCCTTGGCCTCCGTCTCGAGCTCCAGGAGGGAATCAGCTGCCGCGCTCGGGACCGGCGCGGCTGGAGAGAACCTGTCAGCTAGCTTATCAGCCAGCTCGTTGAATTGAAACAGAGCCTTCAAATCATCTGACGCTCGCTCGAACTCGGAAGCGGTCGCATGGCTAGCGACCCTGACCACGAGGACGTCTCGGGCCCCCCAGAGCTCTCGGACGAGGTGCCAGAGGTCCCGATTCGTCTTCGGCCTCCAATGGGCCTTCGAGCGCAGACAGAACGCACCTCGCTGGACGTAGGCGCTGTCAGTAACATATGTCAGGTCCTTGCCTGGGGTAACCAAAAGGGCCTCCTTGAGGGCAAAGAATTCACCTCG